GGGGGGGTCACAGAGGGGCTTGGGGGGGGCACAGAGAGGTTTAGGGGGATCACAGAGGGGTTTGGGGGGGGTCAAAGATGTTGGGAGGGGAAATTGGGGGGATATTTGGGGGTTTGGGCCTGTCTGGGGTGGCTCTGGGGAGGCTGTGGGTGATTTGGGGGGGTCTGGGGGTCTCCGGGGGGGGTCTGTAGGTTAATTTTGGGGTTCTGTCTCCCCCAGGCCCGGCTGGGGGGGCTGCAGGAGTCCCGGAAGGAGCTGGAGCAGCGCGTGGGGACCCTCCGGGCGGCCAAGGAGGCGGCGGAAGGCCCCGAACGGGCGGCCAGGGGGGAGCACCGCAGGGAATGGGGGGGCTCTGTAGGTGCCAATCCCGTGGTGGAGGGATTGGGGGCGTGGGGGGGTTCTGGGGGTACCGGAGGGGGTCGTGGGGGGACATGAATGGGTGGTGAGGGGGGAGCACTGGAGGAAGTGGAGGGTAAGGGGGGCTTTGGGGGGGTAAGGGGAGGGTCTGGGGGGGTCTGGGGGTCCAGGGAGCATAGGGGAGGCCTGGAGGTTTTTGGGGTGGGTAGGGATTTGGGGTTGTAGGGGGATTTGAGGGGGCTCAGGGGGGTTTGAAGGGTTTGGGGTCCCTGTAGGTGCCAATCCCGTGGTGTCCTGGGAGGGAGACACTTGGGGGTGGATTTCGGGGGGTCCTCAGACATTTCTCCCCCCCGGGTGGGTTTGGGGGTCCCTTGGACCGCTGTGTCCCCCCGGGGGGGTCCCTGACCCCCCAAATCGGGGTGTGCCCCCCAAAGAGCAAAGGGCGGCGGCGGCGGCGGCGCAGGACGAGGCTCGAGCGGCCGAAGCCTTCGCTGAGCTGGACACAGACGGGGACGGACGGTGGGTCTGGGGGGCTTTGGGGGGGCCCAGGGGGTCCCAGTGGGTTTGGGGGTCCCCCCTGACCCCCCCGGCTCCCCCAGGCTGACGGGGGCTGAGCTCCAGGCCCACCCCGAGCTGGACCCCGACGGTGACAGCGCCTTCTCAGAGGCCGAGGCCGAGGTGGGAACCCCCAAAAACCCCCCAAAACCCCTCCCCCGAATTTGAGGGGACCCCCCAGGGGGGTGACCCCGACCCCCCCTGACCCCCCTGAACCCCTCCAGGCACTGCTGGGGCCCGGGGGGGCCGTGGATTCTGGAACATTCCGGGAGAGGATCTGGGAGAGCGTCCGGGAGCGGCTCCGGCCACGGGTGGGTTTGGGGGGGCCCCCCAAATTTGGGCGGCTTGAGGGGGTCTCCAGAACTTGGGGGAGTCCTGGGGGGGGTCCCCAAAACTTGGAAGGGTCCCTGAATTTTTGGGAACTTGGGGGGGGGGGGTTGAGCCCCCAAAACCGGGGTGCTCTGACCCCCCCCCCTCACCCCAGGGCCAAGCTGAGCCCCCCCAGACCCCCCCCGACACCCCCCTGGATGAGACCCCCGCCCAGGAGGAGGAGGAGGAGGAAGAGCCGGAGGAGGAGGAAGAGGAGGAGGAGGAGGAGGAAGGCCCTGATGAGGAGCTCAAGGTGGGGGGGGCCCTGGACCCCAATTTCAGGGATGGGGGGTTCCTGATCCCCATTTTT